GTGACCTTATTCAGCCAAGATTGAAAGGCTTGTTGCATAGTCATCCACACTTAATGTGACGACGACGTGCCTGGTACAGAAGCTGCAGGTTCAGAGGCCTGGTTTTTAGTTATGACGGATCGGAGTCGATTGCAACTCGAAGGGCATCGCAGAGCAAAAAAGCAGTCAACAGTGCAGTTTCATCGCAACAGGCTCAGCTTGCTGTAGGAGCATGCAGCAGCACAAGGCCCCACATGCTGATCTGGACATGCGCCATGCAAGCCCTGATCAGCAGGACTTACGGAAGCGCACTTGAGAGTTTCATGATGATACTGGCTCACAGAATGATGACGATGGTGACGTAAGCAAGAGGCAACTGCAAGAGCAACAGTTTTCCGATGAACCAGGCGGAGGACATGGTCCAAACTTCAGGTTTCCTACAAAGTACTTTGTTGCAGAGTAGCTGAGTTAAGGAAAGACCCTGGAAAACGGGCAGTTCCCTAGGCTGGGGTCCACTTTGGTGTCCTTGCTATGCGAATAACATGTATTCTTAGAGAATCAGGAGTTTGGAACGCACAGGCCCTCTAACCCATGGAATTATGTGTATAGTTAAACTCTTGACTTTAAGCTTCCCGGAACCAGCCATCTGGTTCTAAATATTTCAAAGCCTGCAGAGAGATCAAATTCCCATTCGCGGCAGTTGCGCGCTCTAACGGTCTTGAAAAGGGGGGCGTAACAATCATGTCGGGCATGTTTTGCAAGTAGGGGCGACATTGTGCGACTCTCGGGTGTAGGGCAGGTTTCTGGCCTTTCAGGGTTTTTGTTTCGGGGTGTACAAAGGTGAGGCTTTGGGAGGGTTGGTTCGGGGTCTAGCCATGTCCTCCAGCAATTCTAGGGTCCTAGGGATCAACTACTCTACTCTTTTATGTGAGTTGGCTGGAAAATGGCCACAATGCTCTTTTTGGCCGACGTTGCAACTTATGCCTAGCAATCCTTGCTTTGACCTCCAGCACTTCATGAAGCTGAGCATCTTCGGCTTTGCTTCCCAGGTGAAAAAGGAGCCGAAAGCGAGAAGCGAGCTGCGGCGATTCGTGAGAAACTGGCAGCCAAACGCACCTTCGCAGCAGTTGAGCTTGCAGTCAGAAGAGAGCGGTCGTGGAGGCTGAGAAAACAGGGGGGCCCGCAGGAACTGGAACCGAAGGGTTGCTTCACTAGCCGTTTACACATGTCGCATCTAGGATCGGAGGCACGGCTGTTTTGAGTGGTGTCGTTGGATCTTGCGAAGCCGGGTGTGAGATTTGTTCAGACTTGATCCTTAGCAGAAGGCTTAGTACCTCAAGGGTTTAGGCTTCAGCCATTAGCAACTTCAGGGTTTTCGCAGATGCTTCATGATCTAGATAATTATGAGCCTCGGGCCTCAAGTTTGGCAACCTGCAACGATGCCTTCGACATGAGTCTGCCCAATGGAACACAAGTCCTAGACCCCGGGAACACGTATACGTAGAGCCAGAACCCAGAGTCCACCCGACGGCTTCAGCTTCAAGTTCCCCAAGGTGCCAAGAAGAACGGTGAGGTCCCTTGTCTCGGAAGCAGGGAGTTGGGTCTCAGCAACTCCGGGCTGAGAGCACAGTACGTGACTCTCAAGTTGTCATGGGTTCTGCAGTGAGCACAGGCGATCTATCACACAGTGTTGAGTGGGGAGGGTTTCAGATCATGTCTCTTTCGGCCAAAGCCAACACAGTGAGCCTATCTGGCCATAGAAGGCTAAAGCCCACAGGCCCCAAATCCCAGAGCCCTGAACCCTAGACTTGCCCATCCTGGGTTTCGATTTTCTCTGGACTTCACCTGGAGGAAGGCAGCCTGTTTTTCCAAGCCGTGCGTGCAGTGATTGCTGGACTTGACACCTTTGGCGAAGGATCGCGGGGGTCGGCTGTTTAACGCGAACCCACGTGTGCACCCTAGCAGGAACTGTCGGCCGACGGCGCCTCGCCACAGGAGTCATTGCCGTCGTTGCCCGGCTTCAGAGCGACGGCTTGGTTTCGGGAACTCTGTGAAACAGCTGGACCAGGACTTTTGTTGATCTATCCAGAGATGTAGGGTTGCCACGAGAGATCCAGCCTCAAATCCAGGAGGCCCTAGTAAGTATCGGGCGTCCTCTCTGTTCTCGCACCAGCCATGCTCTGTGTCCAAAGCCTCCAACCTTGAAGCCCCGCCCACATTCCGAGACGTTCCTCCAAACCCCAGAAAAGACAAATCTGAAGCCCTGAATCCCAACCTAGACCCATGAAGCTCCAAAGCCCAACAGCCGCAAGGCACTCTGCACACTCCGAACAATGAGCTCCAAAAGTCTAAGAACACATAAAGCCCCCAGACCTTTCGAAAGCAAAGCTTTATTAGAGAAGCCTTTCCAGAGCAATTGGTTTACATCTCTCAACGCATGCAGGCCTTTGCAACCTAAACCTTTTAAGCCCTGAGCCCGTAAACCCTAAGTTGCCCAAGCTGTCAAGCCCCTTTCAAAACTTCAAGGAACTTCGGGAGCCCGGACAGCGGTGCAGACGCCACGGTTCAGGAGGAGCCGACCGAGGAGGCCAGAGGAATTCTCTTTCAAAAATAGCGGTTGAGGGTTTGGCGGTATTGCGGTTTGCTTGAAAATTTAAGGTTTTGGGAGTTTGAAACTGCGATTGAGAGGGGTTTGTGGCGGTTACCAGGATTTAAGGTATTCCAAGAATTTCGCCTGTGCTCGAACTCGTCAAGGCTGCAGCGGAGGGGGCGGCAGCCGCTGATGATGCGGCCTCCGAGGAGGCTGGCCGAAGCCGCAGCTGTGGCTGGCTGGCCCCTATGTCGGATGCCATGGTAACAGTAACAGTCAAAGTATATAGTGTGGCATGATCCGCGAAAGGTCTGCACATGACCCTGGTGATTGTGTAGCAGCAGCAGCAGCAGCAGCAGCAGCAACCCGAGAAGCAACGCAGTACGTAACAGCAGCCGGCATTGTAGTCGTGGTGCAGGCCCTAGTTGAAGCAGTCGTCAGTGGTGGCGAGAGCACGAGCCGGTGCAGTAATTCCTTTGCTTAGGGGTTTCGGGTGTTGTTTGTGATAGTTGCCGGAGCCGAAAAACACGAGAAGAAATTGGAACTCATAGCAAAAGCGAACCTCCCGAATCATCACACCATACGCTCTTCACTTTCACAGGAAACTTCCTAATCACTTTGGCATGGAAGAGCCCGTGAAAGCAAGTAGAACCCTGCATGCCCTAAACTCCTGGGCAACCCTGCCGGGAATGCAGCACCTCAAGCTGAGCCGCACGCGAGGCTGCAGCTGAGGGGGAGGCAGCCGGTGATGATGCGGCCTCGGAGGAGGTTGGCCGAAGCCGCAGCTGTCGTTGGTTGCCCCTATTCATGTGGCTGGTGATCCGATCTCGAGAGTTGCGGGAATGAAATACTGTTGCGATTGCACAGCGGTGGCAAGAAATACGTCTTGCTACAAGCTTAGCAGCAGTCGGCGCGGCAGAAGCAGTAGTGGTAGCAGTGGTGGTAGTGGTAGTTGTCGGAGCAGCAATAGTACGAACAGAGATAGTAGTGTGCGTTCGTTTAATTAAAAAGCCATTCTGTCATCATGCGCGGGCAGCAACTAGAACTGCCGCTTCTGATGAGGCTGTTCCCTTTGTAGCGGATGGTAGGAGCAGTAGTGGTGGTCGTCGTCGTAGTATGTTGTAGAATTGTAGAAGTGAAGGTGGAAGCAGCAGCAATGTTGGAACATCTTGGAAGTAAGAAGTAGAATGCTTGTATATAGGGGGTGTTGCTACCCGCGAAGTCTCTTTTCAGAAGCTATAAGTTTCGGTGCCGGCACGACCACCGGTTTATTCCTAAGACGAGTCGCGGTGCTGGTAAGTGATGCATAATCATGGCATGACGAGTTTCGTACAGGTGGGCAGCAACATGTGAACACGTTGCCGGTGGTTCTTGTCAGCACAATTTGTGTCGGGCTCCTGGCAAACTCCTCGCAAGAATCCGCTGCCCAGTGCCCACGGTGCGTCACAACGCGGTCCCAGTAGGGGCTTGCAAAGATCGCCCTCTGTCCCAACAATATCTAGCAGCAGAGTCTGCGAGGACAATGAAGCCGAGGATGATGCCCCAGCAGCTGCCGTGGACTACTTCTAGATAGTGCCTCCGGACTTTGCAATGGCCCTTCAGAAGGAGCGCAGAGCATGTTCGGCAACGGTTCCTTGACATAGCACCCCGACCCGGCAGGCCTTAGCCGACATGACTCGTTGGTTGTTGTGCATCTGCTCATGTATCTCGTTGCGAACTACTGATATGCACTCATGCGCAAACATTCGAGAATGGTCTTGTTTCGTACCCCGGATCTTGCGGCTGGCACGCGAGGTGGAGAGAGAAAACACTACCACAACTTCGTGCCATCCATGCGAACATCAGCAGCAACCTGCTCATCACAATGTTCTTATCGTACTAAGACTTCCAATCTGCTACAGCATTTTACGTCCGCTGCTGGGAGGAACGAAGCCTTCAATCCTCAGAGTGGATTGCGCACGTTTCACATGTGAGCCAACATGGCAGAGTACCTCAGCCCTAGGGCTCGTCAGCACTTTCGAATCTTAAAGCCTTCGACTCTAGCCATACATGTGAGCGCACCGCCCTTGAACCAACCGTCCCGGCGGGGACTCTAGTCTACAGCCAACATGTAGTAAAGGATGCATACAGCATCAATCTTGGTGCTTAATTCAAGAGCCTGTGCAGCGGTCCCTTACGCTCTGAAGGCTTGTGATCGGCGCACGCGAAAGCGTGGCATGAAATGGAAATCTGAAGTTACATGCTGGTGCTGAGTGTTTGCCTGTCCCAGCTTGTCGCCGCAGTTCTCAGCTGTCGTTGGGGGCTTCTGGACCATACAGATGATCTGGAGCTTTTTGACACTTCCTGGAAGTTCCTGTACTGGTAGTAACGTCGCTGTGCAAGCAGGCTTGTGGCTCAAAGCAGCACGCCTCTTCCCGTCTCAGCACTGACGATGGGCAGTGACAAGCACTGGGAAGTCGTTGGAGGTGCAGAGAAGGGGGGGATTCTGGTCCGGGAGGGTGCCGAGCTGAAAGCAAAAGAGCTGCAACCGCGGCTTGGCGTAGGCGCGGCCGTCAGAAAAACAAAAATCGTTTCGAGCTATATGGTCTGAGTATGTCGAAACAGGTGCTGTGGTGGAGCAAGTTGGTGAGCTGCAGGGCGAACGACTCTGTTTTCGAAAGGTTTCTGGGGCCGGGCCAGACTCTGGCTGGGTTAGCATCCGTGTGAAAGATAAGCAGCTCGGATGGCATTTCATGTTTTTTCTCGATCTGTTCCAGTATTGGGTTTCAGAAGGTTTTTCAGCACAAGGGGGCGTACGTCGCACGTGCAGTGGCAGGCAGCTGCTCCAGGAGCTTGAATCAGACAAGCAGGGGCCGTTGGATCTTGCCCTTTCCGCACTGGCTGTGGAGGCGAGCTCAGCTAGTGGCCGGAGGGCGGTGACGAAACTGGATGCATGCTTACTAGAAGCGGCTGGCGACTCTCCTTCCGAATTGCTGTTGGCACGCGGATTGCTCAATTGGCGCTTGGCCCGCTTTGAGCGAGCTCACGCGGACTTACAAGAGGCAGCTCGAACCTCTGCCACTGCGGCGCCCGCGTTGCTGGCTCTTCTTCTTTGCTGCTCGAGGTTTCCAGATGCCCTGGCTCTCTGCGATTCATTGGGTGAGAAAGAAGTGCACTCTCTTGTGGAGCAGTGGCGGAGCGAGGCAGAGAAGCTCTCCAACTTATTCTTTCCGTGTGTTCGCGAGCCTTGTCCTAAGCCCAAAGAGATCTTCGAGGGCATACGACAGACGGACATGTTGTTTCATGCGCCTGATGGCACCGTCCTCGGATTGCGCCTTCTGCTGCAGCATGACAACGGCAAGGCCCGCGTGGACAGACCTTTGGTGCTCGTTTTTCATGGAGAAGATGAGAACATTGACACCTTCTGTGAGGAGGGCAACTTTGAACCCTGGCGGGCCTCGAAAGTGAATCTGCTAATAGCTGACTTCCGCGGTTATGGGTTTTCCTCGGGCACTGCCTCGCACTACAATTTGAGCTTTGGATTTCCTTCAGCACTTCTTTTTGTTGCATGGTTTTTGCACCTGCGAACCCGAGAGCGGGGTGCACAGGCGAAGCGATGGCGACCTGATTTGCGAGGCTCTTCCGAAGCTCCTTGGCGAAGTGGCCTGGCCTTGGCCCGGTACCTCGGTTCTTGAAAGCGAGGTTTACGAATACTAAGTACTAAGTTAATTACTCAGACTAAGACTGTAGATTCATTGCATGAATGACGGTGATAAGAATATATCTTAAAAACATACCCAGAAAGTATGCCACGGCTTTGATAGATCCTGACATTTGTTTATTTTTGCTATCTGCTATCGGCGATCTGCTGCTAATTCCACAGAAATGACCAGCTAGTCGATATCGGTGGCACTTACTGGCAGCTTCGAATTGTATGTGGCATGTCGAAGAGAAGCTGAAACTGTGCAGCAAAGTGTCCTTGATCTCTACATCAAACGCCCCGAGCGGTGAGAATAAAAACCACGGCTGAGGCGGTTTGGCGCTCTACGGACAGAGCCTGGGATCTCGGGTGGCATGCTACCTTGCGGCCGTGCGCAACAGCGCATTCTCAAGCTTGGTGCTGGAGACAGGCAGAAGCAATGCGATAAATGGTCTGCTATAGGCTGTCGAAAAAATGTGAGAGAGATCCAAGCGAGATCCTGTCAGGGTGGTGTGGTAGCTATGCTCCGGGAGCTCAGCCGCTTCCAGAACCGCCACAACACACAGCGCTGGCGACCATGGGCTGCAATGCAGCCGGCGACAGCAGATTTGGAAGTCGCGAGTTGCACATGGCTGCTGCGGCCATTACAAGGAAAGCTCGCAAGCTCTTAGCAGCACCCTTTGCAGGTACGTGGGCTGCAAGAGTGAACATCCGTCGCACCTACTTGCAATGTTTGCGTTCGCCCATTAATCTTGTGGTTCTACATCTTGCCGTGTTGTGCGCAGCCTTGTAGCGCACTTCGCCCTTGCCAGTGTGACCAACCTTTGATATCACTGTAGCACATTCAGCGCTGCTGCAGCCCAGGCATTGGAGCAAATATGTCAGCCACGGCTGCCGCAACAACCGCTACACACTTCTGCTTCATGAAGGGCAACGAGGATTTCATCCAGGGCTTCGACGGTCGGGTGCTGATACTGCACGGTGATGTCGACCACGTGGTCGGAGGGAGAAGAATATGGCCAAAAAGCGAAACATTTCCCATCACCAACAACAGCAAGAGCCCAAGCCCCCAACATACAACACGGGCTTGCCAGGCATTGAGCAGCAGACAACACCAGAAAGCCTGCCTGCCTCCCTGTCCAGGTCCCGTCTGCGCATTCGCGGCGACTGCATGCTGCAGTGTCGTCTGCATCGAAGCGGCTGGTACTTGCGAAAGGCAAGCGCCAGGATAGCCTACGTGGCAGTACGGAGTACGCGGAAGCTCTTTGCGCCTTCTTCAATGAGGCAGACAGAAAGTGAAACTGGCTTTGATGTGGGAGCTGTGACACCGTCCAGGCTTTTGGGGCGCAATGGTTGCTGGATGTTTCGTGGTATATCAAGCCTACATTAGCGCCTATCCGTCGGCAGGTTCCGCCCGCCCAGGCACAGAGGATCCCGTTTCCAGGCATGCAGACTTCATCCCTGCGTCTCCCACGACCACGCAGTCACGGCTTTCATTTCACTGCTCCAGAAAGCAGAAGCTATTGAAGCTATCTTGCGCCGGAAAAGACACATCTACCAGCATTTGCCAGCCAAATGGCTCTTCGGAATCGGAATTAGGGTGTCGATCAAGCTTTTCTTTTTGCCTCGCCATGCTCCTAAGCCTCCGCTGGCCTACAGTCGTACCCCTGCTGCCTTGAACGCAGACCCAGAAACCCCCAAATTGCGACATGCCCGCATTCTACATGTAGTCCGTCCCCAAAAGCAAATTTCTGCCGTGAAGCCCTGTAGGCTATCCTTGCACCCAATATGCAGAGCCCCCCGTATCCTGGTCTCAGCTGGATGTTTGCACGACGTAGTGTCCAGGAGTCTAGGATAGTGTGACTTTAAAGATAGAAGCTCGGAGTTCAGGGTTTGATCTAGGTCTGCGTGTTTTTTTGCCTCGGTTAGGCCATTGCAGCGCGCCGAGAACATGTCCGGACACAGCCTCAGCTGCTGAGACCGCGTGACACTTCGAGCACAGCCGTTTAGCAGAGGAAGTTCCTGTTGATTCGGCGATGCTGAGAATGTAAGTGGGCCAGCAACATCCTGGCGTTGCGCTTTGAGCTTGCTGTTAGAGTTTGGGCTTCGGGTTTGCTCATGACTAGAGTCTACGGGGTCTCGGGCTCAGCGTAGAAGATGTCGCTTGAGGCTTACAGGGAATGGGGTGCTTGGTACTGTCTGTCGGATGATTATTCGTTTTGGGATGTGATGGAATGCAATGCTCTCGGCCCGAGTCTCTGAAGATCATCCGTGTGGGGAACAAAGATGATTCACCCCCGAAAACAGACTTGTGGATATCAGGAGATCCCTTAGCCAGGTTGTCTGGGTTCCTCCAAACCCATAAAAACCAAGTTCGGAGAAACCGACTTGCCTTCAAGTTCTCAGAAGATGGCATCTAAGCCCAAACGCGATCTTACTGGTGTCCATCAGTCCGAAAATGCATGCTTGCCTTTTTGTATTGGCATGAATGCCGGTGACCTGCATCCGGGCCGGTTAGGACCACAAGAAGTAAGGGCGTTAGGACCATATTGTTGGATTGAGGCCTGCAACGGATGTTTGGACTTCGGGCCGGGGTTCGATTGCACGGCTTCGGGATGGTGCTGTCTAACCGGATGGGGGCTTCGGATAAACTCCGCCGAAACAGAGCTACTGAGCGTGCACATGTGACACAGGCCACTCCCTCAGAGAGACTGCAGCCTTATGGGTTCAAGTGCCAACCTCTCCCACAGCACTTCAGTTTGTAGACTGTAGCTAGAGTTGTCGAGGCGCTTCGTGATATAGTTCGAGCGTGAAACCAATAATAGCACAAATTGTTCCTACACCCAGTCTCTCGACATACATACACACAGCCATGCATACATACACACCCCTGCATCAATCCATACATCCAGCACCCTTATATGTATCTACCTATACATACATACAGTTCATACACATACGGGTAGGTACAGATTCGTACATTTAGTTACATACATACGCGCGTGTACATGAGCACTTCGGTGCCACCAAGCGTTCCACCATGTGGCCAGTCCTGTGGTCGCCAGCTGCGCCGCCGATACCTGCCCACCCAAGCCAGCCGGTGAGACCAAACCGACGAAATGTCCAAGGCATGTGAACTTGGTTCCGGAGTTTACAGGGCAAGCAGCTCTTGCAGAACACTTTATAGAAATGACTCTTGCTAAATGTTCAGTCATCCCACAGAGTGGAGGTCGCAGTTCTCAATGCGGTTGAAGGTGTCCAGTGTGCGAGTTCAAGGAATGGTTTAGGGCTTTAACGTTTCAGGTTTCGGGTTTGGACTACATAAAACCCTTAGCCCCTGACCTTCTTCTCCTTTGGCTGCACTAGGCCACCCGTCGACCAAATGACAAACCACAGTTCCCGAGGCCGACACGCACTCCAGCCACAGAGCTCTCTGGTCTAGTTGCACAGGCTAGAGCCTGGCATACCGAGCTGTGGTGTAAGATGTCCACGTCAAACCTTGCTGGAGATGAATAAGGCTGCTATAACACTTTACCAGCCATCAGACCCTTGGCTGGCGCCCCCTCCATGAAGCGCCGAAGGCCTGGGTCCGGGGATCTTTGCCATCGGTGCTGCGGCCTGGGCTGGGAAGTCCCGGCAAGGACGAGCCAACATGACGCGATTTGCGGCGTTGCTTTTAAGGTGATCATTTAAAGGAGTTCGAGAATTTCAGAATGCGGGCAGTCTTCTCTTGGGGTGCCTTGGTTCAGTGACCAAGGTGAATCCTGCGTCCTAATAATATCAGTGGTCCTTGAACAAACGGCGTAAAATACACCTAACCCCCCTAAACCTAAAACCCGATAATCCCATTGCTTCGAGAGGAGGGCAAAGAGCCAGTGGAGCTTTTGGAGAGCTGAAGCTGGTGCAGCTGGATGCCACAGCTGAAGTATTTAGGACGGGGTTTGTCCAGGTAGGGATTGCCATCCGCCTTTTTAGGTTTCTGAAATCGAAGTCAAATCTTGGGGATGGAGGCTTCGCATTCAAGGCTTGCGCATTTACGTGAGCCCTAGAGCCTAAGTTTCAAGCCCGAATGAACCCCAGAAGCCCGTCCCCCCATAGCCGGCATCCGAGTAGGTGCTCCATAACATGGACTTCAATATGTACATATGTATATACATATATACATATATACCTTTGTATATATATATATATACATATATATAAAATGCAGACTGCAAAGTCCACAATCCTACGCCCTGTGCGACCCAGTCAGCGAGAAACCTGCAAAACTTCACAGCGAGCGTTACCAAGCAAAACCCTAAGCAACCCTACAATCCCCTCAAACCCTACAACACCCCTTAAACAACCTCAGAAGGGCAGACAAACACTGAGGAGATGGACTCGACTGAGCCAGAGGCGCTGATGGAGCTGTTGGCAGGCCCCCGACTACACCTCGGAGAAGATTGGAATTTGGTTTTCAGAATATCTGGCGTGCCATCTGGGGGAGGGCTTGCATTGTACGGTTTGAGGGCTTGTGTGTCTATCCCTTATCTTCTGACAGTCCAAATCACTGATGCTTGCTTGGGAGGTTGAATGCCTATGATGGTTCGACAAGAGGGTTGCAGGCTGGGGGGTAAAGGTGGAGGCTTAGAGAGGTTTTAGATATATGATCACCAGTCTCTTTGTGTATCAATGCTTGCTTGGTTGCAAGGAAGGCCTAGATTCCGAAGCCAGGTAAAGGCTCAACGTGCTTGGCAGCGAAGGGGTTTGCCAATTGAGCGTGTCGATCCGGAATCATGAGCTCCAATCAATTCTGCCAGGAAGCTGAGCAGTATGTCTCCGCACTCCACACATAGACCCCACGTGTTTCACACAAAGCGGTCGTTCATGTCTCAACTATGGTTTGCTGCTGATTTACACAGATCGGGTCTATTGCTCCGGGACTTGGAAGCCGGCATGGCTGCAATGTATTGGGAAAGAAGGTGACGAGACGATGAAGAGCAGGTTCATCGAGGTGAAACCCCAGAGTGCCTGAAGTTACCGGGGCAGTGAAGCCCTAAACAGGTTTTGTCTCACCAACTTAATCTTCCGTGTCTTTGTTCAACACTTCCGTAGCACTTAAGGAGTGTTCGGCTTGCAAAACACGAGTTTTACCCAAGAGGCTAGAAGATGCCCAAAGCCTATCTGGAACCTACACCGGGAAAGCCCTGAAGGCTTCAACTCGAGAAGAAAACATTGCAGAATAAGTCCTGAAGCTCATGTGTGCTAAACCCTGCGAGCTCCAACAAGCCGAGCACCCAGGACCGTAAACCCGAAAAAGAATCTGCTACGAGCCCGAAATTCCGAATCTCAGAAGAAAGACCAGCAAATACAAAAGGCAAGACCCCTTAACAGTCCACGTGTCACCCAAAAACCTTTTGCAGGTCTCGGGGCGGTGTCGACAGCACTCCGTGGCGAAGGCATCGGGGGAATTCAGGGTTGTCCAGGTTCGAGCTATGTATGAGAAGCGTGACAAGCCTAGGTTTAGGAATCCAAGGCTTTAGGATTGCAGGTGTCTTGATCCCAGGGTTGAGCTACGGCTACGATACTAAGTCCTCAAGCCGAAAGCGCTCCCACCAAAGCCGTGAAGCGAAACGTCTCCAAACCGTACAAATGCGTACCTGAGCAAGGTGAAACCAGGTGCAATTCTCCCTGACACCCCGAAGCTTCATGCCTGCCGCGGGTTAGGTCAGCGGTTGCTGGCAACAGCTCCGGCCTAAGGGCTCCAAGCTGTGAGCAGCAGAATTTCTCAGCTTGTGTAGCTGTTCGTGCTGACGCAGAAGAAGTCTTTTGTGCTGAACAAGTTTTGCCCGTAGATCCCTCCTGAGGGCAGAGCCTCGTAACTTTGGCAGGGGAGCGAGCGGGGCTTTTGTCGTAGAGGTCGTTCGGCCGGCAGAGCATGATGGTCGCTCTCATTTTCTTGTTAGCTCAGCTTGTGCTTCGGCTGAGGCTGCTGATGCCACTGCTCCGTCAACACCCCGCTGGCACCGGGCACGGGCTCTTCAACAGCACTATGTGTGTTTTCAACACTTATTGCGTAAGTGAAACGGAATGTTTTAAACGACATGCGTGTGGAGATCTAAGTATAAATGCTGAGCCAGCCACACACAGGGATGTTCTGCCCTGGAAATCTTCAATTAGGCCAGCCCACTTCGGCTAGAAGGATCGGTTCCGGTGGCAAATGGCAGTCCTTCAATCTCCCGTCCTGAGGTTCGTTCGAGTTCCCCAATCCGGAACCCCTTCTCTCAAGAATTCCTCGGACCCTAAACCTTGAACTCGAAAGACTGGCCGGCTGCTCGACTATTAATTGAAGACTTAGACGGTAGACCGCTTGAGTGTCCAAACCCAAAGACTGGGCGACGCAGCAAGACAAGCCCTGAGGCCTCAAAGAAAAGGAGCTGAGAATTTTGAGGATCCAAGAACTCCCGCAAGGTGAGTGGCCTGTTTCCTGCTGGGGTGGATGTGTCCGACGTCGGCCGTGCTGTTCCCCGGTGCCCTGAGGGGCAGGGTGGATTGACTAGTACGTCAGGCTGAAAGGACGACTCAGGGTTTGGAGTTTGATCAAAGCCGTAGCCAAGACGTCAGATCTTCAGCACCGACTGTTGCGCTCTAGGATTCGCTCTGCGATCCTGCTTGGGAGCTTGATCTATGCTGTGTAGTGCAGGGTCGGAGCGAGGTTCTGCAACACCCTTGGTACACTGAGCCGAAACCCCTTACCGTCCGAACCCTTCTCAGGTTAAAGAATGCTTTGACTTGGAGGACGTGCCAAAGATAGCCGTCACGGATGTCGAGGCTTGGTGTTGGGATGTAGGGTTCACTGCACAGGTTTTTGGTTTTGGG